AGATATACCCCCATTTTGAAATTGCCAACCTCGAGAAGAAAGCGGCCGTGAAGAGGGAAGGAGCAACTCTTAGCAGAAAGACAAGACGGGGGTAAGAAAGTTACTTTATCTATTAGAGCCACTGGTTGTTAAGAATATTATGCCAACAAGTTGAGGATTATCCAAGAAGAAACAATGAAAAATAATCTAAAAGTAAGTTAAGGATGGAAACGGAAGAGACAGATGATTGGGAAAACACTGAAATAGGGACGCTCACATGGGAGCAATTTCAAAAGATTTTAGTAGAGGAAGTGCAACAGGCGGTCAGGACAGCATGTTCAAATCTTCTTGGAAAAAAACCAGAATGTATCTGTGGACACTGAAAGTAAAAAAGAAACATCCCAGGTTCAGCTGAACCAGGAGAAAGAACAAGAATGTTGGCAAGGAAAAATGGAGCAAGATATACTCCCCATAATTGGGAAGGAGAAAGAGGAGGGCGGTAACCAGATGAGTAATCAGAAAGAAACAGCAAGTAAAGTGCTGGAAACGGGAAAGGTAAAAGAATGTGTCCAAAATCTCTTTGTGGGGAAAAAAAAGGATTAAACAGACAAAGAGGAGAACAGGGTGCCAAAGGATAAAAATTTGTAAGGACAATAAAAGCTTGAAAATAGGATTTGTTACAAAATGTGTCCAAAAGCTAAAATGTTTTTTGGGGGGGGGGGGGGAGGATTAAACAAACAAAAAGGAAAATATGGTGCCAAATAAAGAAAATTCACAAAGACAACAGAAGCTTGAAGACAGGTATATTGGAATATAGCTGTGGAAAATTGGAAATAGGCTTGAGGCATTTAAGTGTGATTCTGGAAAGAAGGAATCTGATTTGTGACTGTAATGTTTACAATAGAAGGAGAAGGAATTATATACAAGTGTAAAATGATGTTCTCCTGATTTGCTGATGTAATGAACTTTTGGAAGTATGATTCTGTTATTAATTGGTATAAACTAGGTAATAATGTTTGTTTCCCTGCTCTTAAAAATTTCAACTTTTGATTATTAAACCTGTATTGGAGAAAATATGATTTTGCCATTGCCTGTTATAAACTAGGTCAGATTTGTGATTGTAATGTTGACAATAGAAGGAGAAGAAATTATATATAAGTATAAAATGATGTTTTCCTGATTTGCTGCTCTAATGAATTTTTGAAAGTATGACTCTCCTGGCAGTTTGGTGTAGTGGTTAAGTGTGCGGACTCTAATCTGGGAGAACCGGGTTTGATTCCCCACTCCTCCACTTGCACCTGCTGATGTGACCTTGGGTCAGTCGCAAGCTCTGGCACAGCTGTCCTTGAAAAAGAGCAGTTTGTGTCAGAGTTCTCTCAGCCCCACCCACCTCACAGGGTGTCTGTTGTGGGGAGGGGAAGGGAGAGGAATTTGTAAGCCGCTCTGAGACTCCAAGTGAAGGGCGGGGTATAAATCCAATCTCTTCTTCTTCTTCTTCTTCTTCTTATTAACTGTTATAAACTAGGTAATAAGGTTTGTTTTCTTGTTGTTACAAATTTAATTTTGATTAAGAGGAGGTACCTAGACATTGGGACAAAAACAAATCTTTTTCTTAGTTTAAGGGGGCAGTGTTAGTTTCTTTAATTTATGCTAATCATGAATTATAAAAGCAAAAGGGAGGTGTTAAGATGTCAAGGTATAGAAAATGAAAGGTACAGTCTTTAAAGCAAAATACATTATGAATAAATTTGGAACAATAAGTAAAGTTAGGAGAAGAGAAATAAGATAGAGATGGAGGGCTACTGTTGAGGTAATGGGATATACCTATTTCCTGCTTTGGAAAGGAATTGTTATAAGAGAATAGGTGGGGAATATAGCAACAAGAGGAAAAATGATGATTAGGTAACTAGTTTGATGGTAAAGGCGACAATATAGATATCAAAGGGATTTATTAGTGGACCGGTGACTCTGATGATGTAGGTATTAAACCATCTGAATAATTGTGATTGTTAGATTAAATAGTATTTTGGGAGATTAGCACTGTAATGGGCTATGTTATGTTATATTAATTTGTTTGGATTAATTATTTTTGTCTTTTCTTATATGTTGGAAAATCAATAAAAAGAATTGGGGGGAAAATAAACATGCCAGCCAGGATGCCCATAGCTCAGATGAGAAAAAGCATGGCATGGGGCTACATCTCTCTGGTCTCACGTCAGACACACTTTGGAACACCCTGGCAGTGAGGAGGGAAGCTTCTCTTTGCATTAACAGCCAAGAACAACAAACATTATTACAGTGTACTGCTAACACTACTCTGCTCAGAATCCTTACAGGTACCCACCCTCAGGACATAAAGACCGCCCTGGATTCTTTACTTATCTAACCGGGATGCAAGGACAACATACACCACACAGGTAAACAAGGAACTGGAATCCTCTGCCTAAAATTTTGACAGCTGCAAACATCTCCTTCCTTTTGCTCCAGAGACATGCACATACTGTGTACCAGTTCAAGCACTCTACCTCACTCAGCAGTTGCTAGCAGTGTCTGCTATACGGGGGCACAGGGAAAACATTCAGAGTACAGAAAGGGGGGTCAGCCTTTTCCCATATGTTGCATTACCTGAGCAAGACAAGATGGGGAAACAAAGAGTACAACCATACTTCTGGCAAACTAACTGTAAGAGTGGTTGAGCAGTGGAACACTCTGCCTCAGGAGGTGGTGGATGCTCCTTCGCTGGACGTTTTCAAATGGAGGCTGGACGACCATCTTTCGGGTATGTTGTAGGTATGTAGGGCTATCTTTCAGCTATGCTCCTGCAGAGTGCAGGGGGTTGGACTAGATGACCTGGAAGATCCCTTCCAACTCTAACATTCTATGATTCTATGAAACACCAGCCACCTCAACCATCGCTGCTGCTGGCCAAACACTCATGGCCCCTTTTGCTCTTCAGGATCAGTGCTCCATGAAGCAGCCCAAATACCACAGACTTCCAGCGCCTCTCCTTACAATGGATGGGTAACTATTGGCTCAGTGACTTCAATAAGTCAATCCCAGTATGTGGAAATCCCGAGAATGAGAGAAGGAAGGCATAGGAGCTGGAGGAGCTTGTAAGTGGTGCCACACTCTCAAATCCATAGCTCACACCATGTACAGAACAGAATGCTTGCTGTCTGTCGCTGTGCAGAACATTACTCATGTTGTTGCTTCTCTGCTGGCCCTTTCCAGGCAGCACTCCAACAGGGATAGATACCAAACTGGACTCGACCCACAATGCAGTGCTGAGTCTATAGCATGACACATAGTTTTGGTTGTCCATGTGTATCTAGCTTCTCTGCTGTGGGGTTGCCAACTCTTTTACTAGCCTGTCTTGGCATTACTGGAGGCTGCTTCAAGAGCAATAGTTTGACCAGCATAGTCATACTTACTATGGGAATGCATAGCGACAGCTCTACATGTAACTCTTCTATCTGCTGGCAGCTTTTAAAAGCACATGAGCTTACTACATCAAGAGAGCTGGCAATCCCATTCCCGATACAGATCAGATTAATTCTATTCCTGATGCTGTTCAATAAATGTTTGGATAGTTTCCCAGCTGTATTTGTTTGAATGGGCTCTGGTGGATACAGATCTATGTCCATACCTTGTTAGTTACTAACCTCAACTATCTTCAACCTGAAAGTCACTGGGAGAGGTACTGATGTGGCCTAGCAAAGAAGGGGAAGAATCATCCTAGTTCACAATTCCTAATGCTGGTGTACAAAACTATGGATGACAATAACTTAACCACAGTTAGGGATGGTGGGCAAGAGGAAATTCACTCCTGAGATGAGAAATAGAGAGTATGAGCTCCCAATTGCTTAATTTCAGTAAAGACATCTGAGTCATGTCAGCATCCTGTCAAGATGAAAATGATATGTCTGCTATACATTCATGTCTCACCTCCCCCCCACCCCCAGCAGACATTCTACAAAACTTTGCAGGAAGAATGACAAATGCCTGCAGAATTAAGAAACCCAGAACCAATGAGTGAAAAAAAGCATAGGAAACAGTTAAAAAACAGACACAATTATCTACAAAGAATGAACTGTATTTTAGTCATGCCCAGAGCAAAAATAGAGATTTAATCCAATCACAAACACCACACATGAGTAGAGATGTAAAATTTCCAGAAATTTTGAAGCTCGGAAAAAAATCAATTTCCCCCAGTTTTTCCAGGGGGAAACGCAAATTTTCGGAAAAATTGAAAAAAAATGCTACATTAGCATTTCTTTTGTCTTTTCTAGATTGAAAGTCATTCTGTTACTTTAGGAACATAAAATATGACTATGGACATTTTTACTTGGCATGAAATTATCACAACTAGCATATTAAAAATATAGTGTATCCAAACTATTATTACAAACAGAATACCCACCCACATGCAAACACAAAACTGAAACCTTTTTATTTTCTTCTGACAATAGCACCTCCTAAAGGAAGAGATGCATCTTGTTCCTGCATTGGAGAGTTCAGTTTGTAAATATAGGAATTGCTTGTCCTCAGTGCACAGAAATTAGATCAATCTGATACTATATATATATAAGAAATGATTTGGAAAATATTTGAACACCTTGTCTCAAAATATTTTATTCAACATGTTAAAATAAAACGTTCCATAATCTTTTTTTTCTTTTCTTTTTTCAATTTTCCCAATTTTTCGGGAAAAAACAAAAAAGGCTTCAGGACAAAAAGGGGGGGGGGAGGTTTCCCCCCGAATTTTTCTGGTTTTTTCCCGGGCCTTCACATCTCTACACATGAGATCTGAATTTTCCTTTCCATAAATGTGTTGTAGATAGAAAGGGAGTGTGCACATGTCAGGGTCAAATGAGGATTTAGACAAAAGTGGATATTAAGCAGTTGGAACAAATTCTAAGAGTCAGAAAATCATGTAAATCATTAATTTAAGGCAGCAGTGCTATAGATAAAAAGAAAATGCAAACCTTGATATTGCTAACCTCCCCACCTTCAGCTCATACCTCTAACTTTGACTTGAAATCTGTTGCATTCTGGACAGGGAAGGAGTGTGAATTCTTCTGCCTGATGCATTGAATAATCAGTGCTTGCAACAACGATCTGGTCTTCAGCTTTCCAAGTACTAACATCTTCCAAAAGATCCAGCATGACTCCATGGACTACTTCAACCTGGAAACCTGACTTCTGGACACCTTAGACCAATAAAGGAAATAACTAAGAAAAAGGCTCTTACAAAATGCCATTTTACTATTAAGAATTTTAAACCATGAAAACCAATACTGGAAGGATGCCAATAACCCAACAACCATTCCGTAGCATATTTTCCCTTTACTGTTCCTATTTGGAAGTCCCATATGTAGTTTATGTTAAACCTCCTATCTTTAGGAACACGCACAAAATGTTAGAAAGATATTTGTACGGATCCAAACTCTCAGGAGTGGAATAGAGCTAAAGGAAGGAATTGTAGCTGCCTTTCCCTTCTTTTAGCAGCACCCTACGCCCTCTCACTGAAAAGCCAATGGTTATGGTTAGGGGACTGTCAGAAAAAATGTGGAATGTGGCACATGGTTTGCAGTGTGAAAGGGGATATCAGCAAAAATCTACTTATATTCCTTTGTGAACTGTAAATTCAACTCACACTCTTCTCATTAACTCCCCCATCTCAATACAGCCCATGCATGCCACATGCCACACTGTTCCCTAGGTTCACCTGGTTTTGAGGAAGATATTTAATGAAATCTAGATTGTGACCAGCTATGAGACATGACAGACACACACTTCTAACTTCTGCCTACAGTCAGAGGGCAGAAATAGAACAGCCTGCTTTCTCTTCCAAATTGTACAGACCGCAAACGCACTCACCTCTTCTTTAAAAAGAGATGCACTGGTACAGTTACTACTTTGCACTACATTAATGAAAAGAGCTGCCAAGGCCATAGATTTCTTTTCCTACTTAAAGTCAAGAAGGTGGCCAAGGATGCTTTGCCACTGCCACACTCTTACGTATCAATGCTGTATTATTAACCACCTTTAGTTGCTGTAACAGCAAACGCTTCAGGTCAATGGAAGAACGTTCCCCCCCCCCAATCAGAATTGCCAGGTATGGATATATGCCAAATATTTCCAGATTTCACATGGGTTTTTAAAGGAAAGAAATCTTACTTCGTCGACAAATCAAAAACAGCAAATGACACCCCCATGGGGCTGCCAAGTGGGGGCGGGTAAACCCCTGCTTTGGAGGCCCGATTTCTGACGACGGCCATACAAGGGAAAACTCTATGGTTTTCCCTTGTATGGTCGTGGCCCCGCCCCCAGCATGCCTGGTGTCCTCCCGTCACTTCCAGGTGATATGTGTGTGGCGCGCGTGCGCTTTGCACACGCGAACACAAGACGCCGGCCGGGAGCCCCCCACTCCCGGCGAAGATACACTTGGCAACCCTACACCCCCACCTGGATAGCCCAGGCAAGCCTGATCTCGTTAGACCATGGCAGCTAAGCATGGTTGATTCTGGCAAGTACTTGGATGGGAGACCTCCTTGAAATACCAGAGGCAGGAGGCAGGCTCTATTCAGCCCTCTCTGAATATCCCTCCAGGCCCCCAGTAGGGGTCAGTCACCAGAGGTTGCCATGACTTCCAGGTGAACACACAGTCAGTCACCTGAGGTTGCCATGACTTCCAGGTACATGCGTGCATACACACACATGCGTATATTAAAAAAACCCAAAACCCCTCACACCAGCAAATGATACAAAATTAAAACATACACAGGAAAGCAAGGTCTTTCACCTGTAGTAGAGTGGTATCAGGGCTGGCCCGAGCTTTTTTTGCACACTAGGCGAGGATACCTTTTGGCGCCCCGCATTTCTCTGGTTTGAGGACGGGGGGGGCAGGAGAAGGCCTCCTGCCCACAGGCTTCTTCAGGTGCCCCCCTCCCCAGCTTTACTCCCTCCTGGGCTCTAAGAGGCTCAGGTGAGAGGAATCCTAGTGGTGTCCTTGGACAGTTAGTTTGGCTATTTGGGCTGGAGAGCGGAGACCTCCTCCTCCGCCGGTTTCTGCACATCTCCGGCCCACATTTTGTGGAAGAAGATCCATTCGGGGAAAGAGGTTGGAGCCCCAAACTGGCCGCTGGTGGGCCAGGCCAGGCGCAGCCGGCAAATGCTTGGCCCCCAGCGAGCGAGCACCCTTCGGGGAAGAAAGCACGCGGGCAAGCGAGAGCAGGAGATGGAGAAATACCAACTATGTAAAAATTACCATTAATGAAAGCAAGTTGTCCCCCCTGGCCCCAAGGAGCGCCCCCCACAAGGGCCATTCCTTCCTGGACGACAAGTGGGAGGAAGCGCCCCAGTCCGGCGCACAAATGCAGCTGGGGGACCTGCAGCCCGGGGCCTTTCCCTTCGCCCTTCCCCCCGGCCTCCTCCATCTCTTGCCTTTGGTTGCCTGGAGTGCCGTTGGTGCCTCTCCCGGAAGCCTCCAGGCAGAAGAAGGGAAGGCGAACCCAGGCAGCCCCAGCAGGAGGTGTCCACCACTTGGTCCAGGGCATCCCACTTGTGATCCAAATGGGTACAGACGCTCCCGCCAGAAGGGCGGCTTGACTGCCGGGGATGTGGCAATCGCTTCCTCTCTCATTGGCGCTGCTGGGCACAGAGAGAAACGGACCAGGTGCTGCAGTGAGTGGGGAAGGCCCCGATCTCCCTCCCCCATACGCCAGTCAGGTCAGCACCAGGGTCGGCACAGCGCACAGGGTGGCGTGGAACCAAAGGACCCTCAACGGAGGAAGCGTACCAAGCGGGTCTCTGGGTCACAGCATGCTATGAAGAGAGCACAGGTGCACCAGAGAAAGGTGCTTTCAGCACTAGCTAGCTCCAGCTGCACAAGATTTCAAGCATTTCATTACCTGTTATTTTTTAAAGAAAAGTCTTACCATCGACCCATTCACTGAAAGCTCTCACAGCAAACTTTTGACCATCTATTGTGAAGAATTCCCGTTGTGCAAGAGCTCTCCCTCTTGTGTTGTGGTTCTCATAGTCTCTCAGAGATTCATTACAATCTCCATCCCCAATTACACCAACTATAGCCCAGGCTTGCCTGAAAAGAACAAAATACATATTTTAAATAGAAAGACCTCCTAAACAAAGTTCTCATAAGTGCAAAACAAAGAGTATCCTCAGGACACTGGTATTAAAGTTTCTTTCACGGTTACAAGTGAAATCAAAGCAGTAAATATCAGATAGATGGTGGAAGAAAATATTAGATTTTAATTAAACCTTTTAAGTGTTTGGAAATCTGTATCTTTAGAATGGAGCCATACAAATAGATTTGTACGTCGTAAGACCATAAAGGAAAATGATGAAGAACAACAGTGTTTTTAAAAAATTATATCCACAGTTGAATTAATTTAGCTATGTTTTCTGTTGCATTTAAAGCACTACTAGAGGTGGATCTGATTCAGAAAATTCCACCAAGTGGAGAAGAGGACTGTGCATAAAGTATTGCAACATATAACAGGAGGCAACACCAATGTACTGAAGGTGAGAATATATTCATTGTATTAGTCACTGGATGTCACTCTAACTTTATTTTTTAGGCAAATAATTATTTTAATTAGCACATAGCAACAAGTGGGAAAGGAGAGCAAAATGTATGGTATTTATAAACAGGAAAAGCTGAGAATATTCCTCCAAGAGAGAACTAAGTGTATGTCTCAACCATCTTTAGGCAAACTCAGATAGCCCACTAAGCATCAATAATGGAAAAAGACATTTGAAGTTCAAAGTTTCCCACAGCCCTATTGATGACAGACTCTCAGGGCCATAATAGGACACTTCATCAGGCTGGTATAAAGCTCTCATTGTTGATAAACTATAAATTACTTGCCCAAGATCATAAAGCAAGCCAAGATCCTCCTCTGTATCCTCCTCCCCAATTCTAACTCTTAAAAGCTACACTGCTCTGACATAACATTCATGCCTTTATGGTTACTCTTGATTTTCCTCCTATTAGCTTTAATTTAATCCAGCCCTGACTTGAGAGCAGTGAAGCCAAGGGAATTAATCTCTCTACCATCCTTCTTTCCCTTCAAGTTGCTTGCCAACTGGTATCAACATTTCCAGCAATTATTTGATTTAAAACTGAGAGCTAAATTTAGACAGAACAAGTTTATTTGAAAACCAATGCCTGGCATTTTTAATATACATTCTATTCCATAAGCACTTTCTCAAAAATATGGCCAGTCATGAATTGCCTATTGTAACTCAGACTACTTCATATATGGCTTTATGACTTACAGATCAACCTTGCTCACTCTCAAGGAATGTTTAAGCTGAAGTAGGAGCCAGCGAAGTGCCCTTGTATCATGGCAGCCATAAGGCTTACTCCTGGCACTGGATTACAACATGGGTGGTAAGAGTTACACAGCAGAGGCAGTGTGAGTCTCTTTCTCATCCAAAATGAGATAGGTCAGATAGTTCAACTATAACCACCAGGGGCCTTAATGCAGAACACCACACTAGCGCATGCACTCCACACTATATATGCCAGAGCTACAAATACACACTTGCATGGTTGCCATTCTCTGTTCTGTACACAACCCATTTATTATCCTGTTTGTGCATCCACATCATCTCTACTTCCTCAGAAATGTATTTGTGAACATTTCTCTGCTGGCATGCGGAGAGTTTGTGGGAAAGGATGGACCCATGGGTGCACAAGCAGGACAACAAATGGGCCATGCAAAGAATAAAGCAACTAGCATGGAAGGATACGCATACAAGCTAGCTTGGTGAAAACGGACATATATGTAACACTGAATGCTACAGAGACAACGGTGAAGTCTGTTACTTGCCCATTTGACTAACTGGCAAATGGATGTATTTCCACTATGCCAAACTGCTTGACTATCTAGAGGAACACTTGTCTGATCCCTTTGGCCATGTCCAACTTCTGGCAATTTAGCCAATCCACGTGTATGCTCAGAGTGCCCTTTAGATGTTCCGCTCAGATTAAGAGCAGGTGTCCCTCTGTTCAGCATTTCACTTGTCACCAGGGCCTTTTTTCCCTTTCTTTTGGAAAAAGAGGTGCTGGAACTCTCAAGAGGGAAATGAAGTTTTCAATCTGTATACAGAAAACTCATGAACATTTAAACATTTTTAAAAGAATTATGTCGAAGAGGTTCCAGAACTCCATTCCAGTGCATTCCCCCAGAAAAAAGCCCTGGTTGCCACTCTGAGAACCAGAACTTCCCTGGACACTCCCAATTTTCTGAAACCATAAAAACGGAGTGGCCCTTGGCCAACACTGGCTTAAGAACCCTCATTTCTAATAAGAACTGAATTGCCCAAAATTATCTGTAAACTCTTCTCCTCATTGCTGGAAAAAGAACATGCCAGGAAATAATTACATGGAATTTGTGAAAGATTCCAGAACGTAGCCTTGCTGCACTGTTTATACAACCCATTGGTCAGAGATAATCTTAATCCAAGTATACAAAAACTGACAGCCAACTTTCCCAGTGGGGTTTCTGGGAAAGGGAGGTGAGTCATGTAGATAAGGATGAGTCACGTTCTTGCCTGCTATACTGGTGGTGTTTACCCATCAACCTTATTAAAGAACGGCCCATTTAGTTCATCTTCCCTGCAAGTCCCTGGGAAGGACTTCATTCCAGTTATCCTTCCTGAAGCATACATGGCTGCTATAAAACTCTTCAGTCTTTCTGGAGTCCTCCATCTGTGCAGCAATCATTTTGATCTAAGGGAATCAGTAGTTAATGTGAAAGCACCAACAGGTCTGTCTACTTTCTGAACCTCTGACTCTAACATGACACATTCTGGGAGGAAATAAAGCTTGTATAAAGAGGAAAAGATTTAGATCTGTCGCTTCAGAAGTCTCACTGAAGCAGAAGCTGGGGAAGATGAGAAGGCAAGATCCACACTAAACAGCCTAGAAGACTTACAGTGCAATCCTAAACAGAATTACACTATTCTAGGTCCATTGAAATCGATGGGTCTAGTGGAGTGAAATTCTGCTTACGATTGCACTGTTAGGGGGAAACACTCCAAACTATTTATAACCTTGTCTAACACCCTCTGGTGAAAGAAGTCTGTCCTGGGGCTAGATCTTCCTTCCTCTCAAGGCCATGTATCCTCTTTCTTATCTGAATTCTATGAATTTGAGGAAGAGGTGGATCTAGAAGCTCTGGTATGATCACTGGAACCCTTGTAAGGAGAGGCTGGCAAAAGAGAGCAAGATTATGCCCTTTCCTACCTGGAGTGGTTCTAGATATGTTAAGGGAAGCAGCCTGGCACACTTTTCACATCTCCTGTAGGGATGTTTGTATAGACTTGAAAACTGCGGCAGCTTTCTCTTAAACGTTGAGTAAGCTTGAAAGACTTTTGGTGAAAAGCACCACCTAAGAAAAAGGGGATGAATGCTGCTGCTTCTTCTTCTTGTATATTTCCTCACCACTACCTATTGTTACAAGGAAGGAACTGTGTCCCTGCTTAAGAACTACCCCAAGTGATCCCTTGGGGCAATTTCCTTGGGGAAATGCTGTGCCACAGAATCTATGGAGGGCTTGCATGGTTGCAAGCAGAAAATAACCATTACAACAATGTTGAGCCTTCTCTATATTGTTAGGCTTTGTCTTACATAGAAATCTTGTTAGCTTGTAATTAAATGTGGCTTTAAGGCCCATCAAAAAATCAGGGTGAACAGTTTTCACCTACATGCTAGGAAGGGAGTCAGGAATTATCCTGACTCATCACTACTCCTCCAGGCAAGACTTCTGAGGTGACTGTGTGTGTGCATGCACATGTGATGAGGGAGTACATGGATAAGGGATGCCTCCTATCCCAGCATCAAAGGAGGCTGGGCTCTGGCACTTGAGGGTCTTCCAGTCTTCACCCTCTCACCTGACATTATCCCCTCACTTTGCTCTCCCCTTTCATCAGGTTGTTGGAGAAAGAATGTCTTCCAAGTCCAAATCAAGGCATTTTCCTCAGCAATCATTGGCTGCACAATATATCTCCTGACCCATCCTTTCTGACCTGACTCTAGAGACTCTCCTCCTTTTTATCCTCACAACGATCATATGATGTAAGGTAGGTTGCTGGCCAATCCAAGGTCCCCTAGCATAGAGTACAGACTTGAATCTGGTTCTCACAGCTCAGTCCCTGAGCTCTAGCCACTTCACAAAAGTGGCCCTGTCTGCCTGCTTGACAAAGGCAGGAAGATGACTGGGAACCAGAGTTCCCTCTAAGCTGAGTTAGTGTGAGCTAGCTCACAATTTTTTAGCCTCTGGCTCACAGATTTTTGTCTTCGCTCAGGAAGGATGGCTCCAGAGCAGACTAATTTATGCAGCAGCCAAATCGCTCGCTCACAACTTTAATGCCAGCAGCTCACAAAGTAGAATTTTTGCTCACACGACTCCACAGCTTAGAGGGAACATTGCTGGGAACTACAGGGAAGTTTTCATCTCCCAGGGGAATACTTTTTGCCCTACCTTCTTGTCCCTGTATCTAACCCAATGCAGAATGATCTCTTATCCTGAGGCTAGGAAGACTAGAAACAAGTCAATTTTAATAGCTTTTCACCTAAGAGCTACAAAGCGTAATAAAAAATAATTCTTACCTGAAGTAATACTAACTCAATTCTGACTGGCATAAGAATATCATGCACTCTCATACATTTGCATACAGTAGTGTTACATATATGTTTACTTCGCATTCTTTCTCAGTTCCTAAATATTGGGGTATTAAATATTAGCAGCAAAAATAATGAAAAAGTCTTACTCATCTTCTAAAACCACAGGTAACCAGTAAAAATGTTAAAACATCTTGGCTAAAGGAAACACAGTGTTTTTCAATCAAACATTCCAGATTTTTCTTTCAACCGTTTCCAAGACTATAAAAGCTAGAAGTAAACCAATCACAACATGTTACAACATTGTACTTGGATTTCAAACCTTTCTCTCCTCTTCTTTCCTCACTCTTACTGACATTCAATAGTGAGTAAAAGCATTTCAAGGAATCTTAACAGGAAAGGCATGCCTTTATGATCCAGGGGCAGAATTCAAAATAGGTCTCCTTCTCAGAAGACAACTTTTCTACACAGATAGTACTTTAATGTGGGGACACTGTACACCCATTAATAAACATGTCTTGTTTGCTGCAGATGTATATGGTAGGATCCTACCACAACTGTAGCAACTGTCACTGAGAAGCTGCTGCCTGAGGTCCAGGAGGGGACCTTAAAAGCATCACTTGTTAAAATATTTACTGTAAATCATACAATTTTAAAACTAAAGCTGTAGAAGAATTTATATTTTCTTACAAAAATGGGGGGAGGGTTCTTTACACTGCCATATATTTAGTAGATGCATATGTATGCATGAACTAGGAACTGAGACTGTCACAGAATGGGTCTATCTCCTTTTCCCCTCCAAGACTTTGGGAACAAAATGTATTAAAATGGGGGTGGGGCTTCAGCCTGAAGGGAAACCAACAGCAAATAACTCTTGTGGTAAGTGTGAATGGAATAAGAGGACAGGAGAGTGCGTGCATCTTCTTTCCCCTTCTTGCCATAGCCCTGTGAGCCACTTTGCACTCTGTTACCAGAAGCGTTCTCAGGCACAGCCTTTCAGGTGATGCAGAAGAAAGGAAAATACAATTTATTCACAGTTCACAGCATATGAACCTATATTTTTACACCTAATGATTAATATTATTAAGTATGTATATAATTTCAAGTTTACTTTTGTAGATATGCCAGTTTTATACCCTTCAAGCATCAAATTAAAAATTTCCCTTGTAACACTTCCAGCATGATACTATCTAAAGGAAAAATGATGACGGTATTATGGCAATACTTTTGCACAACAGGAGGGCAGAACTACAAACAAAAGAATTTACTTTGGACAGGAATTTCTAAATATGACATTTTGCTTTTGCAAGAGCAGTGGGTTTCCCCCCTCTTTTACCTATAACTTAATCCTTTGATGAGCTTACTTCCCAGAAGATTCTGTATGGTTGTTCTGGTTTCATCCAGTAAGCTTTTAGCAGCTGAATCTCCTACAGCGACAGCAACAATGCGACCAACATCTAGGCCTTTTAGAAAATCCTGAAGTCTTCTGCTTTCATTTTGAGATTCATGAGTATCAAATTTATCTGTCAACAAAACTTGTGCAGTATCTTGGTCAATAACCCTCACATTTAGGCCTCTGGAAAACTCCTTCTCAAAGGTATATGAGCCAGAGGCAAGTCCTGAGGAATGCAGAGTCTTTGACAGAGAAGTCCATGACAACTTCCGAGTTCCATGCAGTTCCAGTGTTCCACCAGGGCCCACGCCCAGAAACTTTTTGCCAAATGTTGGCACATAATCACCTTCTTCCAGTTTACCATACAAGATTATAGTTGCTTTGGATTTATAGCGGCATTTCTCTGCTCCAATATGAAGCGCTCCACCATCCTTTATCAGGATAAAACGTGTTCGTAGTGTAATATTTCTGGATCCTTGTTTGTCATCACTGAAGACTAGTAATCCTGCAAGAAACAGTATTTTTGGTAAGCAATCTATTAGTATCTATTTTGAGAAATACAACCGCATTGTGTTGAAAAAAATGCATACACTAATAACTGCATTAACAATGAAATTTAAACATTAGTAAACACTTAACTCTAAGTACACACATATGTCTAATGGAAACAATGAGTATTGTTCAGCATATCAAGAAATATCAGAACAAAGACAGAGAACAAAGACCTTATCTGAAAGGCGGAACAAAACATTCTGTACTGCTTGCCATGTCTGATCATGTCCTTGCAAAGTTACCAACCAAATCCTGCTGAGTAAGCCTCCTACACAATGATGATAGAGAAGTACTTTTTATTTGCTTATATTTTATGCACTTGGCATAGCAACAAGAAATTACCAAAAGGAGCCCTGAGAATCAAGTTGAAAATAGACTAGAACAATAAAGTCAAGGGACCTATACATGAAAACTATGGGAGGCAGATATATATGGTAGCTTTCTATATATATAATGGTGAGAGCTAGTGTGGTGTAACAGTTACGGAATCTGACTAGATCTGGAAAAGCCAGATTCAAACCCTCACTTTTCTGAGAAGCTTGTTGGTTGACCTTGGACCAGACACCAACACTCTGCACAGGTTTGTTGCGAGGATAAAATGTAGGAGAGTAAAAACAGTGTACAACACCTTTAGTTCTTCGGAAGGGGGAGATAAAAGTGTATTAAATAAATAAGTTTAAGGAAGAAGGGAATAAGTAAGGAGTTGCTGTCTGTTTTAACAACACCACCCTGAGTGATGTTTTCCAAACTCCAAGGAGCAGCAGATATCAGAAGAACACCTACACTACAAAAAGCTGCTAAGAGACTAATCCAGTAACTAACCCAGAGACAACAAGAACATAACAGTGCTACCAATTAGTTGTTGAATCAGGCTATACTATCAGCTGACTATTGGAAAAAGTGAAGCTGAAACAACTGGGGGGGGGGAGTCCTATCTGTACATGGTAAAGTTGCCAATGTTCCTAGATTATTCCTCCTGGGGTTTTGGCACTTGGATCTATTACCATTGCATAATGTCCTTTTGCTCTCCCCTAGTACCATCTTAGGTTACATGCTACAAAGAAAACTGTGTTATCCTGCTTCCACTGTACAGGAAGTAGACTGGGAGGAAACTTCCTTTAGGAAGAATCTGCTTGAATTGCTGTTCTGAAGTTGAAGATCACCAGGATGTACTGGAACCCTCCCAAATGTGAATTTCCTTAATTCCCAGGGTGAGAGCCATCATTTCTTGAAATTCTGTTAATATCCACAACTGTAATGACACAACTTACATTTCCCATAGTGCCAAGTGACATTATTGTGCAGTTATCACTGAACTAATCCCACATTACTTTTGTTGAACAGACTCAGATTTTTTTTCTCCCTCAGAATGCAATCATGGAAAACTTTAAAATGCTGTAGGAGTCCAAAGCAAGGATAGTATTAAATGTTTTAAAAAAGCAGGACATTACTGCATACCATATAAAATACTTCGGAAGAAGCTGTTTTGAAATATTACTTTTTTCCTCATGTTCCTTACTCATGTCATCCTTTCCGTTAATACTAGCATTTCTACCAACTGCAAGCACAAATAATACAGTTTTAGGGGACAAACAAGATACATCAGGTACAACTGCATTTTTTCCTGCATGAGTTGAACTCGTGTATGTGTATCTAATGTTTTAAACAGAAGGTGTACGTAGGCAGAGGAAGGGGAATCCTTGGCTGTGCTCCATCACTGCAGGCACTTCTCCACTAGTTCATCTCCAGTATTAAAACTGAACTAGAATAGAGATGAAAGGGGCCTCAAGTGACCAAGTGTAGAGACATAGATCATCTCATCTCACTCCCATTCTCTTTCTGTTGTAAGCAGGGGTCATTTTGTAGAAAAAGAGGTGCGGGAGCTCATTAGCATAACTTATTAGCATATTTGCATATGCCACACCCCCTGACATTACCGGAAGTGTGTCGGAAGGCAACACCCACCGCTCAGGCTCCACTGGACTGTTTTGGATTGCTAGCTATGGGGGGGGGGAAATGCAGATCTGCCTTCACAGAAAAGGGAGAACTTGTACCTGAATATAACTTGGTCTTAAAGGTGCCACTGGACTGTTTTGGATTGCTAGCTGGGGGGGGGGATGCACAGATCTGCCCTCACACAGATCTGTGCAAAGAGAGAGAGAGGGGGAAAGAAAGAGGGAGAGAAGGAAAGAAGGAAAAAAGGAGGAAAAGAAATAAAGAAAGAGAAGGAAAGAAATAGAATCAAAGAAGGATGGAAGGAGGGAGAGAAGGAGCAGGGGGCGGGGCTTGTTGCTTGTGCCCGCCCCCTGGGCTCGTTACTGCCGGAGCTCCGCTCCTGTGCGCTCCTGCAGGAAATTACCCCTGGTTGTAAGAGACTTTGTTTGTGTGTCTGTTGTATTTACATATAAACATGGGTTTCCAATCACTTCTATTTTGCCTCCAAGAAATGTTGAACACATGAGGCTGCTTGACATACCTCCATCCTGTATAACTATAGAGTGCACTGTAGCATCCCCATTCAGACGAAACAGATCTCCTTGTTTGATTATGACTTTCTTTTCTCTATCGTATCCAGGATTCCAGTTCTTAAGGCGAGGATTCTGATCCGGGCAATTCTCTGCAATATAACAGGAAAGACAATTATAGATCAACATATCTCGACAGCTGGGAAATTCTTCAAAATGGAGATAACAAACTGATGGTTCACTAGTTACTGATGCAATTTTTCTGGCCCCATGCCAACTTATCACATGTTAATCAATGTGTGATAAAAGTTCCCACAGATTTACTCATTAGGGAGTCTGGAATCTCAAGTGATCCGCAGGAATACAGAAATTACCCCCTCGCTGGTCAGTCAACAACACAACACCCTCAATGCTCCAAGGAGACACTTCACGAAACGTCATTCTCTTCCTGATTCTGCATTTGAATCAAGACTTTCCCATGCTCATGATTTCCCATGCTCATGATCTCTATAGTCCAACTAGCAAGTGACTTGCTATGAAACTGCCCTGTTTAACTATGACTCAATACATTCTGCTACCCTTCTTCCGTATTTCAGTTGCAGACACCAGTACTTGCAGCACGTTTCAGCAAAAGCAATGTAATCTCTGGCTAAGTCATCACAAAAAGACCTTCTAAAACTGTTCTACAGATGTCCCTAATTATAGCTATTTCTGCTAATTCATAACATTTTTTAAAACCACTGAACATTTTGGAAGGTAATACTGGTGGGCACTTTAATATTTTTCCCTTTCCTCATTTGTACTAAAAAAGTATATAATGCATATTATTTTTGGTAGAAGGAAAAGCATTTCTGTAAGTATTGAGTGTCACATGTCACTTTAACCCTTTTTCACATCTTAGATTTTTGATGCTTAAAACACCCTCTACTCTATTATTGTTTAACTGAGTAACAGGGATTGCCATTCTTTTCATCTTCTCTGTGAGAATGTACCCTGATAGCTGTTTATTAAATTCCCATCACCAACAGGAAAGATTTATGAACATTATCAAAAAGTTACCAACTCATTAGGTCATCCTGCCCATTCCCCTTCTCTCCATGCCTCTTCCCCAGTGATTCACGTTTCCTAACAGTATACTTTTCTTTCCTTTGATTCAATCCAACTGTGAATAACTGTGGTTTCTTTTCCTTCTTGGAGCCAATTTTACAAACTGATCCACTAGGCTTTTAGGAACTGCTTCCTTCTATTAGATGTTCAAATAGAATGTATTAGTTATTATTATTACTGAGCGCTTCTCCTACCTACTAATCATTACTACAGATACTTCTTACCATTGCTACAGATACTGTATAGCCCTTTAGTATTTTAATACACATCTGGATAAAGTTATATGTGCATGTATATAATGTGTATCTTGATTTTGGGGCTGCTGCAAGCATAAGTTTCAGGGAAAACAAGTTTGGAAATAAGAAATAAGCACACTCAAAATCGTGGCTTATACTGTCAGAAACAGCATGTTACACTTGATAGAACTTTGGTCCTATGAAGTTAGCGTTTTTCATATGTTGTGATCCTCTAGAATATATAACATGCAACTCATCTCTCAGTCATAATGGGTCCTAGCAGTGTTTAATGTTTTCTGCATTCCACTCTCTTCTTTTTCATCTGTCTGAAGAGAAGTATTTCACTCTAACATACAAACATTTATCTTCAAGCATCAAAGAAGGAGGGTGCCAATAATTGAAGCTGATATAATGATTCAAACTAAGTTACAGTTAATTAGATCTGCGAGTGAAGTAACTTCTGTAGTAAACAGCTTGATGAATCATAACAGATACATCCATAACTTTCATGATTCTTTTTAGTTTTAAGTGGATGTGTTAGAAGGAAAATATTTCTCCCACAAAAGGAGCTTTGTAATCTACTCAATCCCTGGGATCAACACTATCACCCCAACAAAAAACATACCAGAAGTTATTCTAAAAGTGTAATACTATGTTTATTCACAAATAAACCCCACTTTTCCCCCAGATAGAATTCCAGCCCAAAACGCATAGGAAGAAGGGTTCTAGGAAAAAAGCTCACAGGAAAAAACCCTACTGTCATAAAAGCTCACAGGAAAAAAGTCCACATGGAAAAAAGCCCATATGGAAGTCCACATGGAAAAAAACATGTAAAGCGCCATAGATATTTATAATTGTGGATAACCATTCATCTACATTTATGAGAATGAACAAGTATCACATGCAACAATTTGTGTTGTGATTTTATCATGTATAATTAAATAATAATTTTGCTATGTTATTAGGTGACCTTCCTGTGCATTAGCCAGTGTTAGTTTGTGGCAGGCAAGGTTCCTCTGCATATAGAGACCACACACTGGTGTTTCCTGTAAGCTGAGTTAGTGTGAGCTAGCTAGCTCACAGGTTTTTATCCTCCAGTTTACAGATTTTTGTCTTAGCTCAGGAAGGATGGCTCCAGAGCAAACTGATTCATGCAGTAGCGAAATTGTTCACTCACAACTGTAATGCCAGTACCTCACAATGTAGAATTTTTGCTTACAGCACTCCACACCTTAGAGGGAGTATTGCCACACACTGGGATGACTGCTGTGGAATAGGAAATTAAGAGCACTATAGGACATGGTTGCCACTTCTGTTGTTATTTGTTATTTAATGTTGTCTTATGGTTTTGTTATCTTAAGCTAAGCTTCATAGATCTATGAGGCCTTAACTACTTCTACTATTTAGGAAAGAGAAAGAGGAGGCGGCAGTGGCAGCAGCTGAGGAGGCTGGGTAACATAATCAACATAAGAAGAACCCTGCTGGATCACACCAGTCCCTGCAGTTGGGAGGGGCTGATCTTTTAGTTTCACAATGGGACCAGAGTTATAAAAGGAGTAGCCTGGTGTGTTCCAGGCCTTTTATTATCCAGGCCCTGAAGAAAGCAAGACTTTTTATGTAGGTAAGTTCTCCACACATTTTCCACTCACTGAGGGGCAAAAATTAGATGCTGGGAAGATTTTAATTTAGTAAAGCATGGTTTTTCAAATTCTGTTTCTCATTCATAGGGTTGTGGGAAAACTAGAAAACAGTATGCCTGCAAAAAGGTCTTCAAAGCAGCCAGGTATCTTTTTTGTACTTCTTTAGTTTTAATTCTGAGTGATCTCCAGCCCTCACCTGGAAAATGGCAATTACAGTAAGACAATTATATATATAGGATTATACTTGATAAAATCACAACACATATTGTTACATGTGAATACAGGTAATACCTGTTCATTCTCATAAATGGAGATGAATGGTTATCCACAATTATAAATATCTATCACGCTTTACATGGTTTTTTTCCGTGTGGGCTTTTATGTATATGGGCTTTTTTCTGTGTGGGCTTATTTCCACGTGGGCTTTTTTCCGGTCACCAGGAAAAAAAGCTAGTTACTCCTCCAACCACTAAATGCATAATCAAATTAAAAATGGGTTATGTTTCTTCTACAGGAAGTTGCTCTTCAGTTCTTGGAATGGATCACTAGATACTTACCATGGAAGGGTCCTTCTCCGAGGAAAGGAGGACATCTTGATGTGTGATCCCCATCATCCATTCAGGGAGGCAGGAGCAATTCCCCCCCCCCAACTTCCTGTCTCTTGCCTGTAGGAGTCACCCTCTTCAGTTTTAGTAACTCCAAAAGTTAGCCTATAATGCCAACTATAGGGAAAAGAACACACGGAAAAGAGCAGGGCAATACCACAGATAAGAAAAAAACAGGCAAATAAAATGATTGAGATAAGAAGTGTACCTGCTGAATAACTGGTTTGACTTCAGGAGGGACAAGATGTCCTCCTTTCCTCAGAGGAGAAGGACCCTTCACAGTAAGTGTCCAATGGTCCATTCTCCCTCTGAGGCAGAGGACATCTTGATGGGACCTCCCAGACCAATGTTCGCAGTTTTGGCATGAGTCATCGTCATCTTCGCTTAGGATGTGTTGTAGTGCCCTTCTGCCAAAGACAGCAGCTGCTGAATTATAAGTACTGACCTTGTAGTGCCTAATAAATGTGGAGAAAGATTATCTTATCAGGTTGCTGCTGGCAAACTTCCTTGACTGTTGCCTGCCTTGCAAATGCGGCATTGTTGGTGACACTCCTGACCGAATGGGCTGTAATTCCAGCAGGGATAGGAAAATTGTAGCTCTTATAGGCCTCTCCTATGCACGTTCTGAGTATGCCACTTATGACCAACTTGGATAACTTTCTCCTGTGGTAGGTGGAAATATGGACAAGAATAACATGTTGGTTTTCCTAATGTGGCTGGTTTAACAAATATGTCTTGAGGACTCATTCTGACATTGAGAGTGTGCCATGTCTTCTCCCTTTAATGCTCCAGGTTGGCAGAAGGATGTAAGACATATATCTTGAGCTCTATGGAGGGCAGAATTGACCTTGACATGAAGGTAGGAACTGGTCTAAATAGCACCTTGTCTTTGTGAAATATGTATGGTTTGGGTTTATCTGAAAGCGAGCCTAGCTCAGAGAAACGTCTGGTGGATGTGATAGCTGTAAGAGGAGGTGTCTTCAATCTCAGTCATTTTAATAAGACTTCCCTCAGTGTCTCAAATGGTGGTTTGGTAAGTGCCAAGAGAACCATCTGTAGCTTCCATGTAGGGAACCTGTGAAGGGTCTCTCAAACCTACACCTCAGAGGAAATGTCACACATGAGGATGTTGCAAAACGCTTGTGTCTTTGACTTGGGGCAGGATCATGGCCAAGGCTGTGATCTGTCATTTGAGAGTCCTCTCGTGATTCCTTCTTGCAGGAATACCAATATTGAGTTAAGTGGGGGGTTCAGTGGGCTGAAAGCCATGGTCAGTGTGACCAGAACAGGACCACTAGAATGATGTCTACTAGTTGCTCTTTGACCTTCCTGAGTACCTTGGGAACTATTAGAATGGGTGTTTGGCCATGGAGAGGTGAGAGTGTCCATTGCCTATGCCCTGGGATGAAAGAATCTTGTGTAAAATCTGTCAAGTTGGTGATCTGTTGGGGATGTAAAGTGATCTATCTGTGGTAGGTCAAAATGTCTGGTGATCTACAGGAACAAACCCATCTTGATGGATCACTCTCCTTCTTGAACCTTTTGTCTGGATCACTTGATGTCT